CCGCTCTCCATTTCCTTCCCCTCCGGTAGAGTCCTGGCCGGGGAGGGGACCCGGAGAGGGGCGGAGCCTGAGGGCTCCGTAGCCCGCCTCACCCAGCGCAGCTTCCCGGAAGACTCTGAAAGGTGACTCCGGGGTGAAGGGGAGAGGGGCGGGGCTTCCGGTGGGGAGCGAGCCGCCATGCTGCTCTTTGGTGGTGGAGCCAACCGACCGGATGTGCGTCTTCTAATGGTGCGGGGACGTCGTGAGGGACAGGGAAGCAGCCTCGCCGTCGAGCTAGCGGTTGTTCTTCAGACTCAGACGTCTTTCAGTGTTTCTCCTGAAGTCAGACCTCAATCAAGTAGATTTCCTGTGGGTGCTGGTGGAGCTGGGGGAAGAACCCGGGTCCTTGGTTAATTAAGGAAAGAAACAAAAAAGGAAGGACGTGGGGCTGGAGAGGTGGCTCAGTGGTTAAGAACGCTCTTCCAGAGGTCTTGAGTTCAATTCCCAGCACCCACGTGGCGGCCCACAACTGAAGATCTGACAGGCTTACACAGACAGATGCAGGCAGAACTCCAAAAGCCCAGAAAATAAGAATAAATAAATTAGAAAGGGACGTGTCTGCCCCTAGGTGTGGTGGAGGAGGAGGTTTGCTGTAGGTGTGAGGGACAGCGCAGCCAGAGGCGGAGACATCTGGGAGAGTCCAGAGTGAGCTCGACCCTACCTGGGGGGCCCTGGGAGGGGAGGGAAGGGGGAAGATGAGGAGGGTGAAGGATAAAAAGGACCTGTAATCAGGATGGCTGCTGGGTTACAGACAAGAGCAGCCCTTGGGCTGGAGAAGTTTAGGGTAAGGGTAACGGTATACCAGCCAGGAGGACCCTGAAACCGGGAGAGACTGAGGGATGCTGGGAGGGAGAGCCTGTCAGTAGCACCCCAGCCATTTGTCCTGGGTGTGAGACCTGACACAGAATAGGAGAGTATTCCTCAGTCAGTCATCGAGCTACATCTTCAGGCTTCATGTTGAGTACTTAAATTGTTTCTGTTTCTCGAGCTAGAGTTTCTTTGTGTAGCTTTGCAGCCTATCCTGGCACTTGCTCTGTAGACCCAACTGACCTCCAACTCACAGAGATCCACCTGCCTCTGCCCCAAGTGCTGGGATTAAAATGTATTTTCTACTTTTTCTTCAACCATTCCCTCTACCCTTGTTTTTTTTTTTTTTTTTTTTTTTTTTTTTTTTTTTTTTTTTTATGGAGAGACTGGTAAGTTTCCACTCCTCCATGTTGAACACTTTTGCGATCATAGTGTCTGAACACACTGGATCCCAATGTCCCTTCTTATGTATTGTGAATGGGCCACACAGCCTCCCTCATGCTGGCCAAGTGGTCTATCACTCACTTGCATCTCCAGCTCCCTTTAGTTTCAGACAGGGTCTTCTGATGTAGGCCAGACTGGCCCAGAACTTGTAAGTCTCCTGCCTCACAGGCCTATACCACCAAGTCCAGCAAGTGGCAGACTATGTCACTTGCAGGGTTGTTAGAATCAGAGTTTGGTAAACTGCAAAATTACATAACACATCACTCTTTCCAGTGTTTGGATATCTTCATTGTTAAGTGCTTCTTGTCTATGCTACTTGGCTCAACACAACAGGGGGATTAGTACTTTATTATGTGGCTGGCTGTGTAGCTGGCCTCTGGTGTCCTCTCCTTTTCTTGTCCCTTGCTCTTCTTTCCTTTTTCTTTTTCTGGCCTAGATTTGTCCTCCCGAGCCCAGATTTCTCCACCCATTTATTGTTTCCATGCCAGCCTCAACTACCCTCTCTCTTCTGTCCACTTATTGGATGTTTAGCTCTTTATTAGACCAAGCAGATGTTTTAGACAGGCAAAGTAGCACAACTTCATAGAGGTAAACAAATGCAAGTTAAAAGAATTCAACACACCTTTGCATCACTAAACAAATATTCCACAGCGTAAACAAATGTATCATACCTTAAACTAATATTCCTCAACAATGGGAAACCAAGATTCGCCGATGTTTGTTAGCTCCCAGACCCTCCTGTAGCCTCTTTCTGTCACAGCTGCTTCCTGTAACGAGCTGACAGGCCATACCCAGCAGCAACCTTTCTCCACTTACAGCTGTGCCAAGACCACCACCACCACCACCACCACCACCACCACCCCTTGTGGAAATGGGCTTTTCCAGATAGCAATGTCCTAAACAGATAGACTATAGCTGGCAGGACTCTTAGGGGACATACTAATTAGGCCCATTGCTCTTCTAGACATCCCTTGTCTAGAAATGTGATGTGAAAGAATTGGAGATGTGAAAGCCATAGACCTTTTCTACCTTCAGATCTGACTAGTTTTTTAGACTGGAAAGTTTAATTGGAGGAGAACCAACACATACAGGTCCAGGAGTAGCCCTGTTTGTGTCTCAGAAATGGAGCTATCAAAAGCAAGCGTGTGTCTACTAAACTGGAGTGGCTTCAACTGGAGACAAATTTTGTCTTTGAATTTACACAGGTTGGAAACTAATCTTTTAAAACTTCCTTGTCCTTTACATGAGCAAGGCAGGTGTGTACGCCTAAGAACCTTGAAATCATTTACTTTAAAATAAATATTTCACTGAGAGTAAATAGTAGTTTCTCCGTTCAGTGCACAGTGTAAATTTTAGCATCTGTGACAAACTGTATTGTTATTTTCTCTCTCTCTCTCTCTCTCTCTCTCTCTCTCTCTCTCTCTAAAGTTTGACCTTAGCTTAGGCTTGTTCCCAACTAGCTCTTAAAACTTAAATTAACCCATTCATATTAATCTACGTTCTGCCACATGACTCATTACCTCTCCTCAGTACATTATGTTTGTTCACTTTCCTCCACACCTGGCCGGCAAATCCCATCTCTCAGATTCTTTCCCTGAGTTCCTCTCTATCCCCAGAAGTTCCGACTATCTTCTCCTGCCAGCTATTTGCCATCCATCTCCTTATTAAACCAATCAGAAGGTGCCTTAGGCAGGTGAGGTAAAACAGAGACTTTCACACAGTGTGATCAAATATTCTGAGACATCTCTCTGCAGGTGGAGCCCAGTAGTAGAGCATTTTTCTGAGCATGCCCAAGGTCCTGACTTCAATTCTAAGTTTCAAAACAAAAACCCCCAAAACTCCCCACTTTTCTCTAGGAAGGAAGGAAGGAAAAAAAACAATAGTTAAGAAATAAACAAGACTGGGCATTGTGGCACCTGCCTTTAATCCTGGCAATCTGGAGGTAGAGGATGTAGCAGGATCTGTAAGTTTGAGGCCAGCCTGGTTTACATGGTGAGCTCTAGGCTTGCCATCGACACATGAGACCCTGTTAGGAAAAATAAAAAAGTAAAATCTTATTACTGTCAAAGTACTTAGCTAGTGGGTTCTCATGTACAAAGGTAGGACAATGCCTAATCCTTAGTTGACTCATTTGTTCTAACCTTTCTTCATTAAGTCTGTTGTTGAATAGCAAAAGATACAGAATATTGAGGTTTTTGTCTTACAATTTGCTCAAGTTAGGTCTTAATTAGAAAGGTACTTGGGCATCTTTCTTTCTCCCACAGGCTCCTGAAAGGAAAGACAGACTGCTTCCCCAAACATCCTATCTGTGGAGCCAGGGCTCTCCAAATGCTAGCTGCACCTAGTCTCTGACTGGAATCAAGAACAGTGTGCTGTTGTTGGGGATGGGAGGACTGTGTCCAAGTGTACAGTGAGGGGGGAAACCACATGCCTTTGGGTGCATTCTTAGATCGTGTCGATCTTGTTTATATTCAGAGTCAGAAAATTTTTGGAACTAAAAGGCATGATTCAAAACTCCATAAAGCACATTTACTCATGAATACCCAGTGAACCCCAGAAATATAGTCTAAGTCAACTTTAGTAATTCTCTTTGCCTCCCAAAGTGGAACAGTGGGAAAAATCCCTCAGTGGAGTTCACCAGCCCTGAAGTCTGCTCTAGTTCAGTTTGATTTGGTAAAATAATGATTTTTCATCCTACCAGGGTTGTTGCTCTGTGTGGTATAGAGCATCCCAGTGCCTACAGACCCCTGGGAATGCCCACTGCCATAGCTTCACATCAGAATTATATCACAGAACACTGTCACCTCCATCTCTTAGACCAGTACCCTGGGAGCCTCAGATGGGCTTCATGATGGTGTGTTAGCATATGGGAGACTCCTATGCTAAATCTCTGAAAGCTTTTAGTAATATTTGGAATCACAGTTGGAGTTCTCAAAATGGAGCACATGCCAATGTAGTACTTTTACTATTAACCTTTAATTTATTTTTGAAACAGTCTTGTGTAGACTAGGTTGGCCTGGAATTGCTATGTAGCCCTTGATCACAGCAACCCTCTCCATCCCTCTCCACCCCTCTCCATCTTCCTAGTTCTAAGAGTTTAGGTATGCACCTCCACAGCATGAATGATGATTTGTGCTGGGGATTGAATTCAGGCTTAATGCATGCTAGGCAAACACTACTAACTACAGTCTCAGCTCCCCCTGCCCCTCTGACAGGATAGGCAATGTAGACAAGGCAGTATTGAGCTGCCGATCCAACTGTCCCTGAGTGCTGGGATTGTCAGTGTACCACCAACCCAGCATGATCTCTTCTTTTCAAAGTAGTGTCCAGGGCTGTGAATATGACGTCCGTGGTAAATCACCTGTGTAACACGCTTGAGTCCCCAGGTTTAGTTCCCATCACTGGGAATGTCCACCAGTCCTAACCCTGTCAGTACACAAAGATGTGGATTACACTTGTTGTAAAATAAGTCTGCAGACATGCCTGTTCCCACCCTGCCCCAACACAGATAGAGAGACGTTAGCGCTGCTGTGATGCATGTGAGGTGTGTGCACTTCGTCAGGACTTCTAGAAGCTTCTCAAGCCAGCTCTATGGACACATTGGATGCATGTGAACGGGCTACGCAGGCAGACTTCTTACAGTTTAAAACTGCCAGATTGGCAGTGGTGGCACATGCCTTTAAACCTAGCACTTGGGAGGCAGAGGCAGGTGGATCTCTGTGAGTTCTGGGCCAGCCTGGTCTACAGAGTGAGTTTCAGGACAACCAAGGCTACACAGAGAAACCCTGCCTTGAAACTAACTAACTAACTAAATAAATAAATAAATAAATGC